CTTTCTTTTCCATGATTGATCGTCGGTTTGAGGTGTCAGTTAAATTGGTTAGGAGTGACAATGGTACTGAATTTAATTGCATGCTTCCGTATTTTAATGAATGTGGCATTATTTTCCAAACCTCTTGTGTTGGGACTCCCCAACAAAATGGTCGCGTTGAGCGAAAACATCAACATATTTTGAATGTAGCCCGTGCTTTGATGTTTCAAGGGAATTTACCTATTGGATTTTGGGGTGAGTGTGTTCTTGGGGCGGTTTATTTGATTAATCGTACGCCAACTCGTTTATTGCAAAACAAGACACCATATGAAATGTTGTTTGGTTATGAACCTTGTTTTGATGAATTACGGGTTTTTGGTTCCCTTTGTTTTGCTCATAACCAAAAATCAAAGAGGGATAAATTTGCACCTAGAAGTCGGAAATGTGTGTTTTTGGGTTACCCACATGGCAAAAAGGGGTGGAAATTATATGATCTTGAAACGGGGGAAATATTTGTGTCACGTGACTTTCAATTTCATGATAATGAATTTCCTTATGCTAATGTTGAGAATGTGAATGAAGTCTCTAAGCATAATATGGCAGCATATGGGGATAATGTTGGGGTTGATTTGGATTTTTTGGAAGACTTAGAAGCTGTTTTGGAAGTCACCGAGGCTGCCACAGCTGCTACGGACACCTAAGGGACTGCTGCGGCTGCTGGGCACAGTGCAGTCCGCAGCTCCCCTGCGGTGGACATCCCTGCCCGCAACCAGACTGCGGCAGCCCCTGCCAGCAGCTCTGCCGCGCTAGACAGTGACTCTGCTGCTGCTGGCAGCCCTGGTATGGCTAGGGACGTGGCACCAGGGGGTCCTTCTTCATCCCCGGAGGTTGTCGAGCCTCATCGAGGCAACCGTGAGCGTCGTCCACCTAATTGGCATCGAGATTATGTTGCACATACTGTTCAAGCGTCGAGTCCTTCTAGTTCACCTCCTACATGCTCCTCAGGTAACCCTTACCCTATAGCACATTTTGTGAATTGCGACAAATTTTCTGTTAGACACCGTATATTTCTTGCAGCTGTGGTTGCAGGCACTGAACCCCGTAATTTCAAAGAAGCAATGACAGATGTAGGGTGGAGAGCGACTATGCAACAAGAAATATCGGCTTTGGAAGAAAATCACACTTGGGAAATGGCAGAGTTACCTAAGGGGAAGAAGGCTCTTGGGTGCAGATGGGTCTATAAAATCAAGTATAATTCTGATGGCACTGTTGAACAGTTAAAGGCGCGTCTTGTTATATTTGGTAATCATCAGGTTGAAGGTATTGACTATACTGAGACATTTGCTCCCATGGCAAAAATGGTCACTGTTCGTGCTTTCTTAGCCGTTGCAGCTGCAAAGAATTGGGAACTGCATCAAATGGATGTTCATAATGCGTTTCTTCATGGTGATCTTGATGAAGAGGTGTACATGAAACTCCCTCCCAGATTTCATGGTGGCAAACCGGGCTTGGTGTGTCGTCTTAAGAAGTCTCTTTATGGTCTTCGACAAGCTCCGCGTTGTTGGTTTGCGAAGTTGGCAACCTCCCTCAAGCGGTACGGTTTTTCACAGTCGTACTCTGATTATTCACTCTTTACTCTGCAACATGGTGATATGCAACTAAGTGTCCTTGTCTATGTTGGCAATTTGATCATTTCTGGTAATTCTTCTTCTGCAATTTCTGAGTTCAAGAAATATTTAAGTTCATGCTTTCATATGAAAGATCTGGGTGTTTTGAAATATTTTCTTGGTATTGAGGTTGCTCGGAGTCCCGAAGGCATATTTTTGTGCCAACGGAAATATACTCTTGACATTATTGCAGAAGCAGGTTTATTAGGGGCTAAACCATCCGGTATACCGATTGAGCAAAATCACAATTTGGCAAAATCGGATGGACCCGTTATTGATGATCCCGAGGTATATCGACGCTTAGTGGGGCGACTGATTTACTTGTCATTCACCCGACCAAATTTGGCATATACGGTTCATATCCTATCTCAGTTTATGCACCAACCGCGACAACAACATTGGGATGCCGCATTGCGTGTTGTACGGTACTTGAAAGGTTGTCCGGGGCAAGGTATTCTTCTTCGCTCTGATTGTGATTTGCAGTTATCTGGTTGGTGTGACTCGGATTGAGCAAGTTGTCCATTGACGAGAAGATCGATTACTGGTTGGTTGGTGTTTCTTGGTGGTTCCCCTATTTCTTGGAAGACTAAGAAGCAAGACACTGTTTCTAAGTCGTCAGCAGAGGCCGAGTATCGTTCCATGTCTAAGGCAACCGATGAGTTAAAATGGTTGAAGGCTCTACTCAAGAGTATGGGAGTGACACATCCCCGTGCGATGCATTTGTTCTGTGATAGCCAATCCGCTTTGTATATTGCTCAAAACCCGATTTTTCATGAGCGCACTAAGCACATTGAGGTTGATTGTCATTATGTGCGCGACGCGATCCATGATGGTACGATTCGGCCGTCTCATGTAAGGACGACGGAACAACTTGCAGATATTTTTACCAAGGCTTTGGGGACTCAACAATTTACATATTTATTAGCCAAGTTGGGCATTTGTGATTTGCATGCTCCAACTTGAGGGGGGGGTGTTAAGCCATTTAGTATATATTAGTTAATGGGCCAATGTGTTAAGGCCATATTTGTTTTATATGTTGTATATATATACTTGTGAACACTCATATGCAATACAAGGAAAATCATATGAGGTTTTGTGCGATGGTGAATTGAGGTTTCTCTGGTTCGAGGGCCGAATTCAACAGAGATGGTGGGTGGGGGATTTTGGGTTCGAGGGTTGAGTTTTAACGAAGGTGGAGGTGGTGGCTAGTTAGGTGGGATTCCTTGCTGCCGGAGGTGGAGGGATGGTGGGTGGATGTCTGGAGAAAATGGAAGCCATTCATGGAGCTAAGGTATGGATAGGGAGGAAGAACACGGAGACCAAATGAAAAAAAGGAAAAAAAAAAAAGTTTTTTTTTTAAAAATTTTAAATTAAAAATATTTTTGGACAAATGAAGCAGCAACACATGGCAGGTGACCTATAGTTGTAGGTTAAGTGACCTGCTTGACCTAATAGAATAGAACACCCCCTAAAGCTTGGATTATTGTGGAATAATTAAAAGGTCGGATTAATAAAATAAGACAGTGCAAAGGTTGGATTATTAGAATCAAATTTTCCTTTAAAATAACCACCCGTTTAAATTTATATTTTATTTTACCACCTCTTAAATTAAAAAAACTACTCAGATTACCACCCATTGCAAAATTCTAGTGGATTTTCGGTATGTGGACCTACCCAATGGCTAATAACGACTATATCTAAGCATTACAATCAACCATGCCTTCACTCCACCTCCCCTTTAAACCAGTTTATTAAGTACAAGACAACCTAAAACCAAAAGAAAACAGCTAAAAAAACCAAGAGCTTGTTATCTGAATTGCCACTACTACTGATCATCTTCTTCTTGTTACCACTAAGAGTCGTTAGGTGGGGCCCAAATAAGAGAAATCCACCAGAATTTTGAAATGGGTGGTAATCTGAGTATGGAGTATGAATTTGGGGTTTTCACAATTTACTATATTTTCCTCAAGAAAATTATTGTTAAAATCGTGCATTGTGTGATCCTAACCTAGTTTTTACTATTTTATTTTTTGGAAAATTGAAAACTAATAATTCTACCTTTGCTATACTAGTAATAAGTGGTTATAATTTAAATTAGTAGTAGTCCATGCTATACTCGTAGTCCATTTTACTATGGTTAACAAGTTGTAGGTAAATGAGCTTGTTTTGAGTAGATGGGGGTCAAAGGTGAGATTATTTTCAGATTTATTAGCAGAATTAACAAAGGTGAAATTATTACATTCCTTTTTTTTTTTTGAGGGAATAGTTATTACGGAGTACTAATTGAATGACCTTTGTTAAGTTAATTTTTCTAAATTTATGATTTACAAGTCTTTATTATTATCGTAGATGCAGTATGACAATTCATTAATAATACTCCGTAATATTTTTTCTCATTAAATGAAAAAGATATTAAATAATATTTGATTGATTATTACATTAATATTTTATATTATTTTTGGTGTTAAGAGAGCCACGAGGGCGGGGGTGAGAATCGATCCCAGGATCTCCTGAATTCGGGAGGGAAGCTCTAATCACTTGAGCTATCCCTCACTCTCACTTTATTTTATTTTATTTTTTTTTATCTATGAAATTTATAATTTGATTTATAAGATGTGCATTGCACGAACACTATATTAGAAGTGGGAATACGTAGTACATGATAATGGTAATCGCAAAAGGATTGAGCACATAGTAAAATCCGCAGTTGTAATAATGTACAGCTCAAAGCTCAATAACCCATACGTTATTAGTTCGAGGCCTTTCAAAGGGAGGTTAGTTATGTATGAGTAAATGCATAACGAGGGGCATGGGGTCATTTTACGTAAATGCGTTTCTGAATTTAGAGTAGTACCACTGGGTGATCAATTGTATCACTGGATGATTAAATGATATCATTGAACATTTCAGTGGTACTATTTATGTATGTAGTAGTATTATATATTCATTCAGTGGTACTCACTACGTGTAGAAATAGTATCACTACATACTCAGTGGTACTATCTAAGCTTTCAACGGTACATTTAAAAAATGGCCCCACTTACCCATCTCTCTTCTCCTTTCTTTCACCCCCATGTGCTTTTTAATATTTTAGTATTTATTATACATTTGCAAATGCATAACTAACCTCCCTCAGTACTTCCTCTATTAGTTCTAAATTCCTAACAATAAATTAACACTTGACTTGACTTGACTTAAGCTCGTTGAAACAAACGGGATTATTATGTTGGAGCAAGAAACGGTAACCAAGATAAGATTATTGGTAAGAGACAAAAAGTAGCGCACAAAAGGCAAGACAGAGAAAAAGAAAAACAGTTTTAAATCAAAAATAAGGACAACATTATAATTCGACCGTTGAAACATTTTCAACTCACTAATAAAAAGAAAAACTTTATTATTCTTTTATCATTTGCAACACCAAAATTAAACATCAGATTAAGGTAGTCTTCAAACCCCTCTCTAAAATGGCAAAATCATCAGAAGCAATGCCTCTTAAAGAACTAAACACAACTACACTCGGTTGCGAATCACCGCCTTCTCCGAAACTTCACCAAAAAATTGAGGATAGACAAAATTCTGCAAAGAAAAATGAAGACACCCAGAACTCAATGCAAAAAGCTGAAGATGTACAAAACTTAAGAAATTATACTGATGATAGTTGCAAGTGCAAAGTTTCAACGGGTTTAGGCACACCGGATCGCCTTAAACTCCCGAAACCATTCAAGTATCCTGAAAGGTATGTACCAATATGTGTTACAGAATTATAGAATGTACCCGTGTAAATGCACGTGATCCATCAACTTGAGTACTTACCGGTTTGCAGAATCGTAGTTAAGTAAAAGTTTGAAAACTAATATTCTTATTTATATAATTGCTAAATTCATCTTTTATGAGAGAAATGTTAGAAAAACTAGATTAATGAAGACTAATTTGAATTGTTTTCAATGTCAGGTATACGAGTCCTACAGACAATATATTATCTCCAATATCTAAAGGACTTCTTGCTCGAAAAAGCCGAAGAGGCGGCGCACTCTTGCCACCCTCCATTATTCAGTCTAAGGTATGTTGCATCAATTCTCAATTTTATTCTATAGTGGTAACTCTATTGTACTGGCGGATCTATTAAGTAACAACCCAGAAATTTGGGATAAAATTTTTTAAACTGCATGTTTTTACATTTTGCCAACATTTGCTACAGCGGTAAAAAAAGAAGTTGATAAAGTTTGGGATGTGCACCAAGGGGGTTCGAACCTCAGCTTCTATTTTTGCTTTGTAATTATTTTAAGTTTTTTTTTTCAATATAAAATCCCTAAAATAAAGTTTGGTTTTAATTTTAGTTTTAAATGTTTTAAATAACTATGCGTTTTTTTGGATAGAACCCCAAATTCTATTTTTTCGTTGTAATTGTTTTAAGTTTTTTACCCATCTTTCTAATACTTTATTCTATTGGATAGAACACATTGCATGGCATCAAAAAAATCAATTGGTTTATTATTTTACTAATCGTTTTTGGAGGTTTTTTTAATATAAAATCCCTAAAATAAAGTTCGGTTTTAATTTTAGTTTTAAATGTTTTAAACAACTATGGAGTTACTCCATATTGCGCTACCCCTGATTGAAAATCCTGGATCCGTCACTGTACGTGTTACATGTCAAATTTATATAATCACTTGCCCAATTTTTGAAATTTCGTACTTGAATGTATGATTTAATCAATTTTCTTGTTGGCAGATTCAAGAATTGCGATCTCCAGATGTAGAGCAGTGTCAATTGAACATGAAACAATAATTTATCGAGTAACAAAGGAGCACTCTGCTGTTCGAGTTTGGGGCCTGTCGACAACATTACTTGTATAAGCATTATTGTAATTTTATATTAAATCTATTCATAAGAATTTGTTGTTTAATATTGTAGTAACATTTTACCAATAAATTACATGGAATTACCAATGAGCAAAGAAAAATCTTAAGTGGTCTGGATCACATACAAAATGTACTAAATACTGTCATGAACATTGTAATGAAAGTTACAATCAAATGTGAAAAATTGTTAATCTTCTCTGTATCATTCAATTTTATCGAATCTTCTAGTGAAACGCGTCATGACAACTTTACTCAAGAGGAACTGCATACCATTAAATTATATCCAATGTGAAAAATTGCTAATCTTCTCTGTATCATTCCAATTTTATCGAATCTTCTAATGAAACGCGACATGACAACTTTACTCAAGACGGACTGCATACCATTGGATTGAACCAACATCTCCATCAACTTCAAGCTCACATACAGATTTCACTAGAAATGTGACTGCATCATCTAGTGTTTTGAATCGAGCAAGGTCGGGTGGTAACGTCTCGTTTGGCCAATTTTCTAGCCACCCTTTAAGCTTTTCTTTCAATTCTTCCTCAGAAATAAACTCCTCACTTCTCCCTGGTTCCAAGTACACATAAGTATCTGTGTCCATGTAATTCGCCCTGCGCCGTCTACCTGCATAACACTGTAAAACACCCAAGCATTTCTTGCAATAAGAAATTTTTAGCATGATAATTGGCCTAAAAAAAGATAATTAAGAAACAATTTTATTTTTTTTTTTTTTTTGAGAACTTGCCTTAACTGCATCACTCCTGCATGAAAGTGGTTTGCTATAAGCTGAAGTATTCAGCTGACCAAGACAAGGCTGCTGTGTTGAGATTTTCGGGACACGGTGGTAGAATCGTGGGCTTGATTCATCTGAAAGGAAACATCAAAGTGCTATTGATGTTAGAATAAGATTGATATGTAGAACTAAAAATTGTTAATGGTAGTTGTGTATATCACGAGTTTTGGTGAAATCTTACAAAAGAGAATAGGATGATTAGTAATGTAGATGTTTTGTAACTGAGTGTTCAATAATCTGGTTATTGGTGTCATTCTTTAGCCTTCAAATCTTGGGTATTGATATTAAGCTGAAGGATGTGTAGTGTTGAAGTATACTTGATGAATGGCTTTAGTTTGGATAAGAAGATTGAGTTGGTGCGTCTTTTAGTGTGTAGAACATTTGTGAGGTGCACCGTGCAATTGATATGCTTGATTAAATCTACCGTTTTTTCACCACATGCCCTTTAGTTTTTTATTTATTCACCATATACTCACAAAAATTGTCAAATTCATCATATATCCTTGAGTTGTTACAAAAATTCAGCATATACTCCTGATGACAACAAAATGAGTTGAATTTGATTAATTATGCATCAACACCACCTTATATCTCTCCTTTCATCCCTGAAACCACTCCATCAACACCACCTTATCCCTAATTAATTATGCATCGACACCACCTTATACATCTCGTTTGTCCAATCCCTGAAACCACTCCAAATCTCAATAATCATATCCGTATAATCGAAATTGAGAATGAGAAAAAGAAATTTGGCGTGGTTTTTGTTGTGTTAAAGGAAGGAAATATCAAGTTTAAAGGAGTTTTTTTTTTTCTTTTTTTTTTTTATTTCTTGCTTGCCCTGGCTGCCAGGGCAATTCCGTCCTGGAGGGCGAAAGAAGGTAGAAACTAATTTTCAAGAAAACGAAGATTTCTCTTGTGCCCGGTCGGGCGCGAGAAGCATTTTTGCTTGGCGATCTCGCCCGGTTGGGCGCTCGATCCGGGCACGTGGGATATCGATTTCTTGAGCGTCTTTTAGCCTTCTTCTTGGATTCCTTTCTTGCACTATTTTGATTCCTTATAACCCCCACAATTAAGAAGATGATTATGGTGATTAAATCTTCATCTTTATTCTAATTTATTCACCCCTCATTGATGCAAGAGATTCTTATATGGTCTTCTATGTGCTTCCATCCTTCTCTATAAATGGAAGACTTAATTTTCTAATTCCATACACTTGAAAATAATCAAACACAATAGCTTAAACACATCTCTTTTTGGGCATAAGATACTTGGCTCCAACCTTCCACCCAAAAGTGCCTTTGTGTGGAAGTCGTGTGTTAACCTTAGGGAACGTGTCGGCGAATACAATTGAGCACCGTGGTTGCGTCGGAATTTCGTTTTCAAGTCAGTGATTTCACGACACACCATTTTGTTCCTTTGTTTGTAAGATCAATTTTTCAGTCTTACTTGTCATCTTTTATACTATTGCTTTAGATTTCTTCAATTTGTACAACAATTTGAAAACGAAATTATGTCTATTACTAATTGTATTGTGAAATCTCTTCCCTTCCTCTCTAAGTTGGAAACCTCTTGATGGTAAAAACTATAAGAGGTGGTCACAAAAGTTACTAATATTTTTTGAACAAGTGGAAATAGATTATGCCTTGAATGAAGATGTCATTAAAATTTTGGAAAAGGCGGAGGAAGCGACCAAAGTTGCAACAGATCCTATTCCGGCAGCCATCATGGAAGCCTTGAAGAAAAAGGAAAAGAACAACAAGCTTGTTCGTGGTCATCTCCTCAACCATATGAATAATACTTTGTTTGATTTGTTTGTCAATTTCAGGTCAAGCAAGGCTATTAGGGACTCTTTGGAGAAAAAGTATGGAGCGAATGATGCCGGGAAAAAGAAGTATGTGGTGGGAAAATGGATCAACTTCAAGATGGATGATGAGAAGCCTATCATGTCTCAAGTCCATGAATATGAAAACATGGTGTAGACACCCAAATGTGTCTCCCCAAAACCAAACCAAATGATGAATACCTTTCATGTCATTTGATTATCGAACATAGCAAAAGTGTTAAAAGTCTAGTGATGAGGATGTTTTTATTAAAAAATATCTTCTTTTTGTTTTTGAAAATATTTCTTTTCTTACCCTATTTATGAAAAACGTGCATTCAATTTTAATTTGGTCCATGATATGGGTCCAATAATAGTGTAATTGGATAGGGTTTGAAAAGACCTTTCCAACGATATATTATAAGCCCAATTCCGATGAATAATGAGGAAGTTATGGCCAAAATACTAAACTCGGCCCGGTTTGTTTTTTATATGTGGCCCAATGATCTAGAAGAGGGCCTATTATTAATTATCATTCCTAAATCTATTAGGATTGATTATAGTCTTCTATAATACTCTAGAAGGTTCTTTTAAATCCTAATGGAGTTAGGATTGATAATTATGTTTTAAAGAGTTTGAGATTGAATAAAACTACTCCTTTTTAGAATCCTTGTTTTGTACGAAGTGGAATATATTCAAATTTTATTTTCGTGTCTCATAATCTTTATCCAAATTTTATATGGTTGGATAGAAATTGAAATTATCTTTCCAATGATATATTATAATATTAATTCCGAGCTAAAACGAAAAAGATATGAATGGAATACAAAACTCTATCCAAAACTGATACCGACCTACTATTTCGGCCATATATTTTTATCTACAAAATACTTTAAGCTGATTCTAATTGGTTTGGAAAGTAGACTTTAAGATCTTTCCAACGACATATTATATGACTTATTTGGGCTTGTGGATCAAAATATATGACAAAAACAAAATTCGCAAAAACTGTTTCTGACGACATGATTAGCGCCAGGCGCTAAGGCTTGGCGTCTGGCGCTAGCCTTAGCGTCTGGCGCTAATGTTTAGCGCCTGGTGCTAATGCTTAGCGCCTGGTGCTAATGTCTGGAATTTGGCGCCACACGTGTTTGACGCTGCAATCGTGTTTTATTCTTTTTGAAACTGTGATTCGTTTTTTATTACATCCGACTGATTTTCGCTATAAATAGCCTCCTAAAACCTCCGTTTTCCATCATAAAAAATCATCAATTCTCCATCAAATTCTCATCAATTCTCCATCTAATTCTCATCAAGAATTTCTTGATTCTCTCCCTATTTCTAGCCTAGCCTTTTACAAACACAATTCCTCATACATTAGCACTAGAAACACCTAGCCAAGTTCGAAGTTGCCTTCGCCCTAGACGTGAAAGGTTTGATATTTCTAAGGGTTTGATCCCAAATCTCTCTTTCAATTATTTAATTTAATTATTTGATTTTATTATTTTCCTTGAAGTTACTAACTCGTGTATTTTATTATTAGAAAGAGATACGAGGCATCCAAGTAAGTGCTTTAATTGATTTATTGATATTATGATATAGAAATCATGTCGAGGTTGTTATTTTGATTCCTAGTATCATGTTAGGATGCTTGATGTTTTGAATGACAACAATGATTCCTAGTATCATGTTTAGGGTAACAACCATAATTTCTTATATCAAATATGACAATGATGATTTCTGTGATGCTTCCTATTGTCTTTCCTAATATTCATGTTAGCATCATGTTAGGGTTAAAGCTTTAATCTTTGTTGCTTAGTGACATGCTAGGGTTTGTTGTTAATCTTGTTAGTATCATGCCTAGGATCTTGCTATTATTATTATGCTTTAACATGATTATGATTGTCATGATTATTTTTATGATTATGATTATTGTTATTATTTTTTATTATTATGTTGCTTGATTATATTTATTGTTATTGCTTGATCACGCCTTTTATGCATGTTTAAAGGGAATTGGTACTTGTAATCACACTTAATAAGATAATTAATAATCTTGTCACTACTACATTTTTTACCTATTGCAACCCCCAAATCTGTTGCATTAGGCGTCAAAATCCGTGACATTAGGCCTAATGCAACGGCCATGTACCGTGGCATCTGTTGGCGTTGCAGTAGGTCTAATGCAACGGCGTATGACACCTAATTCCACTGTATCGATGATCCGTTGCGTTAGATCAATATATGATGCAACGACAACATTATTGCCGTGGCATTAGCTATAACACCTAATGCCACAGTTTTCAATACCTAATACCACGGTTCTCTATATCTAATGCCACGCAATGCATATAACTAATGCCAATAATAATGTAATAATAATAATTATAATAATAATACAATTAAAATCTGAATTTAAAAAAAAATTAGAATTTATATTTATATAACTTAAAATAAAGTTTGTACATTCTTGTCCTTTAAGGAAAATTACAAAATCGAATAACACTAATTAACCTAGAAAAAAATCATAGCTAATCAATGTTTCCTAAAAACATTTTCAATCTGTTTAGACTACCATATACCGCAAAAACCAAGGTTTTAATGCCGGGAAAATTTGCCATCATCTTGAATCGATCAACAATTAGAGACAACAACAATAATATACAGGGGCAGCAGTGGCAATATCCAACCGCAACACTGTACAGGAGCGAGCAGGCCAGGAGGAGCAGCAACAACAACAATTGAAATCACCCATGCTTGGTGCTGGTACTCCAAATTCACCTCAATTTTTTATCTAACAATAAACCAAAACATATGTTATTGTTCTTTTTTTGCATAAATTAATAGGAACCAAAACCCAAATTAGCAAAACAAAATCCATAAGCATAAGCATAAACTAAAGGCATAATATTTCCTATTCATTCATTGATCCAAGTAAATGCAATGAATAAGGAGATAATGACTTATCAGAGTGAAGCCCAATCTTCTTTGAAAAATTCACAAACTGAAATTTTAACTCAATTCAATATTATGAACTTTAGCAAAGTTAAATTAAATAATTGAACTAATTAGAGATATTCAAAAAAGGAAAAAAATCAATTGGATTCTAGAATGATAATTTTTCAGAGAGAAATCACAAAGATTTTGGGGTTATAGGGGTACAGAGAACCTGCAAAATAGAAATGGTTAAGGTCTATCTTAAATATCAGCAGTCCCATGGTTTTGATGTGATGAAAAACGAGCTTTAACATTGGCTCTGCAATGACAACCCCTACGTTGGGCTAGATAAAAAATAACATATATACGAAGCATATGTGGCAAGAGTTACTAAGTTTAAGTTGAAATTTTTATAGCTTTGATATGAGAGGAAAAACTCCACGTACACCAAGCAATTGTCTTGACCATTTAGTATGTATAAATAGAGGATTAGGGAGAAAGAAAGGAAAAATATGACTAATAGTTCTTAAAATTTCATAAATACATGTCTGGCTTGTCAACTTTCAATAAAGTTATGGATAATTATGAAAAAATTCACAAACCTTGTTGTTTTGTAGTACAAAATGTTATA